TAAAAAAACCAAACTCATCAACATTATTTCATATTTTTTCACAGGAAAACAACAAAAGAAACATTGAAAAATCCCCTGAGAATATTAGTAAAGTATATTTTTTATAGTTTGCTTTTTAATACTCCCCACTATCTTTTACCACTATTTTACCTGACAATATATTTAAGCAGATTTGTTGTTTTTACACAGCAAAGAAAAAGTAGCCAAAAAACCACAAGATTTAATAAATTTAAAAGCATGTTTTTCACGTTTATTTCCGACTGTTGCTTTTTTTAGGTTTGTTTTGTTAGTCAGAAAAAACTAAAAAGTTTTCTACAGTATCTTTAGTATCTATGTGGGTAGTTAAATAGTTTTTTTTCGTATATATTAAATACTTGCTTCTGCTAAAACCGCACCAAATTGTTGAAATAGAATTGTTTCATCTTGTCTTAATTTTTAAGCAGATAATTAATGGTGAAAAAAAACTTTTCAACCAAAAAATGTACTTAAATAAAATGTTTGTTTGTGCGAGGGAAAAAAATAGAGGAGTTGAATTATTTGTTTAAAAAGTTTTCGTTTATTTTTAGCACAAAATTTATTTAGACTGTACTTTAGTTCTAAGAATTCTTATGGAATTGAAAGTAAAGTTTTAATGTTATATGGAATGGCTAATTTTGACATTTAGTTAGTTGATTTAATATATTTTTGTCATGATAAAAAGTGGAAAAATAATGCATTTTTATTTTGATGTATAAAACTTTAAATATCTTTCTAATTTTTTGAAAAAATATGAATTTTACTTATTAATTGTTTCCATCTATGATTTCACATATTAAATAGGACAAAAATACATACGAGAGATTTATAGAGGAGTTGTTCTAAAATTTTAAAATCATCTTTTCTACTTATATACTTAAACGATCCACCCATGTCCACCTATCTGTCCGTCTGTCTGTCTGTTTGTCTGTCTGTCTGTCTGTCTGTCTGTCTGTCTATTTATCTGTACGTCTGTCTCTCTGTATGTTTGTCTGTTGAACGGTAGATATGGACCAAACGAATGATTTTGGCTTTAGAAAAACATTAATAAATTCAAATATTCTGGATCCTTACTTACATGTTCATCTGTCTGTCCGGATTAAAATTTTCCACAAAATATAATTTTTTGAAAAAAATTTGAATTTTACTTATTAATTGTTTCCATCCACGATTTCACATGTTAAATAAAAAAACGTAATGTTATCAAAATATCTTGCAAATAGTGGCCCGTAACTTGCACACAAGGTTTACATGGACAGCCAGCCGGACGGACGGGCAGACGGACGGATGGACATGTCTTAAACGACTCAGAAAGTGATTCTGAGTCAATTGATATACTTTAAGGTGGGTGTAGGACCAATATTTTTGTGCGTTACAAACATCAGCACAAACGCATAATACCCTCATAATACTTAGTGGTGTAGGGTATAATTATATAATTATTAATAAATTATAATACAATTTATCATCGATCTAATAAAATCGTGGTTAGAAATTGCGAAAGAATCCATACATAAGTCTATATACAGAATCCGAAATATACTTTAATTTACGACCTTAATATTTACAAGGTGTTTACATAAGATTAGTTATAACCAAATGTAACACTCTTACTTGTTTTTAGTTCTTTGAATACCTAGTTAATGCCATGCTATCTCTTCAGTCTTTTACATTTAATACAATTCTTTGTAGAATATCATTTTAATTCCATTTTAAAAGCGTGAAATCTCTAACCAAAATCATCATATAATTTGGATTAATTTTGTGCTTATTTTTCCCCTTAAACACACACACACCAAAACATACTTCTGCAATGCCACAGTTACAGCACACAGATGTTGTTGGCAAAGAAAATAAAAGGAATAAGCAATGAATGTGTGTTCTTTGTAGATAAAAATAAGAAATATAAATATTTTAGTGCCACACTAAACTTACATTTATTTCGAAAAGAAAATGACTCATTTTTCTACACAGATTCGTATTACGAATGCTTTATACTCAGACAGAATAAATAGAAAAGTGGCAAATAAATTAGTTGCTGCTAACGCCAACTCTTGAGATGCAAAAAGTATTTATTCACTATATCCCTGCTCACACATTGATTTATCTATATTTTCAATTTCGTAATAACACACATAATCATTTTCTATTTTATCATTGGAAAAAAAGACGAACCGGAAAAAAAGTGCAAAAGAATATTTCACATTTCATTGGTTGCAGAAGTTCTGCTTGAATCTTTTTTTGTTGCCATATGAAAAAAAAAACATGAAAATAAAAATGCTGGCAATATTTTGTTATTTCTCTAAAAAAGAGAAATATTTGTTAGAAAAAAATCCATAATGTTGTTTTATTACACGGTCCTACAGTACGCTAGACTGGAGAGAAAAAATACAGAAAAAATAATAATATTTATAACTATAGAAAGTGAAAAAAAATAAATCAAGGACATTGACGTTGTTAAAGTGAAGTGGTATCTGCTATTCTATTCACAATTTACAATTTACTCGTACTGGCACAATCCACAGACAGTTTCACAGATATTGGTAATAGTTGGTGTAGAAAGTATAAAATGAAATTGTATGTTTTCGGCTTTAGTAAGTGGAACAATCAAATATGTATTCAAAGCAACGTAACCATCATTATCACCAATGCCAGCAACATGATGTTAAAAATGCTGATGATCATCATCAGTTGATGCTATTTTGGCATTTGAGTTTGCAGAATTGCAATAATGTTACATTAAAGAGGGAGCAATTTTAGAGGTTGAAATATTTTCCAGCTATAAAATACAATCATCCCAGTGGTGCAAGTATAGCTCTTAGCTATTTTGTTTGTGATACAAAAGTAGAAGGAAAATATGTTGTTCATTTTAGTAAAACACACCGACATGTTTTTAGTTTAATTTAATCTAAAGTCTATGGGATTTTTAGAGAAGTATATGAAAGTGGAGTTGCCATAGAAAAGAAAGAAATAAAATATAAAACAGACATGAATATAAATTTTCAAGGGAACATAAGTTAGAAAAGGAAAAAAATTTAAATGCAAACTGCTGAAAGTGTAAAAAAATTGAAAAAAAAAAATCCTAATCGTTAGCAATATATAAAAATCGTTTATGTGACAGAGGGTTCAATAAACTATATAATAGACTAATTCATATAGTATTTGTTAGACTAGTCCTTAGACTTCACAATATACTAATCCATACACTACTCAAGAGATTAGTCTATACACCAGTAAATGGATTAGTCTATAGGCTAGTCATTAAAAAGTCATTAGACTAGGCTATGGACTAGTCTTTAAACAAGTCAAAAAGACTATTCCATAGATTAGTCAACAGAGTAGCCTATTAACTAGTCCATAGTCTTGTCAATAGACTAATCATTGGACTAATCAATAAGCTAGTCTATGAACTATTCAATAAACTAATCAAATGACTCGTCAATATACTAATCAATAGACAAGTCAATGACTGTTCCTTAGTCTTGACAATAGACCTGTCTATACCTTAGACTAGTCCTTGGTATAGTTTTTAGACTAGCCTTAGAATAGTTCTTAGAATAGTCCTTAGACCAGTCCTTAAACTAGTCCTTATACCAGTCCTTAGACTAGTCCTTAACTAGCCTTTGCTCTATAAATTAGCCCTTAGACTATTAGACTAGTCCTTACACTAGTTAATAGACTAAACCGTAGGCTAGTCCTAAGACACGTCCATGGTTTTGCCAATAGACTTGTCTATTCCTAGTCAAGGACTAGTCCCTAGACTTGTCCTTAGACTAGTTCTTATACGGATTCTTAGACTAGTTCCTAGACTAGTCCTTAGTCTGTACAGTCGACACAATAGAGTAGTCCTTACACAAGTCATATACTAGTCCTTAACTAGACCTTATACCAGTCTTTAGACTAGTCCTTACACTAGTTAATAGACTAAGCCTTACACTAGTTAATAGGCTAGACTGTAGACTAGTCCTTAGACGCGTCCATGGAGTTGACAATAGACTTGTCTATGCCTAGTCAAGGACTACTCTTTAGACTTGCCCTTAGACTAGTTCTTATACATACGAGTCCTTTGACTAGACCGTAAGCAAGTCCCTAGACTAGTTAATCGACTGTACTGTAGACTAGTTCTTAGAGTAGCTAATAGACTGTCCTAAGACTAATCTACAAAGTTGACAATAGACTAGTCCTAGGTCTTGTCCTTAGACTAGTCCTTAGACAAGTTCTGAGACTAGTTCCTAGACTTGTTCTTGGTCTATAGAATGGTCCTCAGACTACACAATAGACTAGGCCTAATCGACTGGTCCTTAGACTAGTTAATCGACTGACAATATGCCTTAGACTAGTCCTTATACAGGTCAATATAATAGCTCTCAGACATGTAGAAAGACTAGTCCTTTAACTAATCATTAGACGAATCTATATACTAGTCTAGTTAGTACACCATCTAATCAATAGGATTGTCGTTCCGAAACGGTGTTAAATCCGAAGCACCGAATTGGAAAAACTATAGCTGTTTGCTACTATAATTTTCCTCAGCACTGTTCTGCTAAGCTGAAGCAGCATAAAATTCATCGATACCAAAAATAAAATTGAACTAATTTAAAATTGTTCAATCTTTGAATACAAATGACCTCAAAGGCACAAAAATAATAATACAAACTTCCAATAGAACAGATTGAGAGAGAGAGAAAAATAACAAAAATCTAACACAAAATAGTTTCCAAAATTTATTACATTTATTAGTGTAAATGGTTGTTGTATGTATTAGACTATAAAATAAATGAAAAACGTGTAATAAATTAAAGATTTAAAAAAAAAACATAAAAAATATATTTTCATTTTTAGGTGTTGCTGTGAAAATTTAAAGTGTACAAAAACAGAACCTTAAATACAAACATCATTTATATAGTTTATATTTCTTCCTTTACATACATAAGTGTAAATGTAGAGAAAAGAAAAAGGAAAATGTGAAAAAATATGTAACTTACCTGTCTGCTTGTGCTGCTGATCCAGAAGCCGGTTTTAGGCTTTTAATTGCTTTCAGCCACTTTGTTTTCATCGATGGCGCAGTGGCTGCCGAAAATTTACGTTCGCCGCGCGGTGAACCCGGATCAACTTTACTCACAAATAGTTCTTTCTGTAATGATAAAAAATGATACAAAAATTAAGAAACAGGCAAACAAATTACACATAAATAAATAAATAAAAGTTTTGTTTTTTATTTCTACAAACAAACACTATAAACCTGGTTAAGCGAAATATGAAACAATTTTTGATGTTCGCTGTGTTTTTTGCACTTTATAGGGTGGTTATGACCTAAAATTTTGTTTTTCTGATTTTCAACATTTTACTTTATAAAACGCAGTATTATAAATGTTTGTAGCTTTGTTCTTTTTTTAACATCCACTCTAACACAGTCATTAACTTTTGCCAAAAAAAAGAAAACTTTACTTGGTTTTTTTTGGAGCAATTTGTTTGTTTTTGGTATAATATTTGTCGAACATTATCATTAACGTGTATAAAATGTAGTAGTAGTTGGCAACAAAAGAAGGAACACGTTAAAAACCAGCAAGAAATTATGAGTAGAGAAAATGAGAACTCATTATAAAATTATGAGGGTGATTAAAACTGTTTTAGTATCTTTACATTACACACATAAAATAATATTTAAACACAAACACATAGACAAGTAGTGAGACAGACAGACACACAGACGGATGGACAGACATATTATGACTAAAATAAAAATACTTTTTTATTTGCTGTTTGGCAGTAGATGGGAAAACTTTTTCTTTGCCTTCTTTTAGAGTTTCTTTTTTGTTTTAATATTCATACTTAAGTTTTTAGTTTTACTTGTAAATTTGCTTGTAATGACTTTGTAATTGACCATCATCATAAAATGCAACGTATGAGCAATATTAATTATTATTAATAATACTCATACGTTGTGAGGGAGACCAATTGATGCAGTCCTAAAGTTGTTGGTAATTAATGAGGTGTTCTTTGCAAAGGTCATTTGTTGTTGTTGTAGTTGTGTTGAGTAATTGGAAAAATTTCATGCTAAAACTCTTTAGTTTATGTTCTTTGAAGTGTGTAATTGAGTAGAAAGAAATTGCTAAAAAGACGTCATGGGGTCTTATATATTAAATTTAATGGGGTGCAAATTTTAATTAAAATTCATATGAACATTAGTTTAAGATTTGTTCACACGAGGTTTGTGATAACAATTGTTAAACTCTCCTGTTAACATTTTTTACATAAAAAATCATAACATATTAAACATATAATTAAACTGTGATTTTATTTTCAAATTTCTCTAATTAATTACTATGTAAAATTTACTAATTCATAGCAAATTTACAATTTAATTGTAATTAAATTTAATTGACCAAAAATACCTCAAAACTGTGTAGCTAATCCTTGAGCCTTAAATTCCATATAAAAACTAAAACTAACATTTAATATGTAATTTACAAACAAAAATCCTCATTAGTTTGCAATTAAACTAATATTCATTAATTTTAATAATTAAATTACCCAAAAACACGTTACAGCCAAAAGAGAGCAGTCAAATTTTAAATAAAATTTAAAAATAAATTTTAAATGACCTAAAAAAGGTTGATAATCCCTACAATAAGCCAAATTATTAAAAATGCATAAATATAGCAAAAGGGTGTAAAACAGTTGTATATGTGTAAGTACTATCATTAATAAATAATTAAAATTTTTATGAAACATAAACAACAATTACAGCAACAATAGGAAAAGTGTGTGATGAAGTATAAACAAACATATTGAACAATTTTCAATTAGCGCGCTGTCATTTATTAGTCCAACCAATGGCATTTGAACAACTTGACAATAAGTGTGTGCGTATGTGTCAGAAAGAGCCACCACAAAATGTAATTAATAATTTTAGTCTTATTGTTGCTATTGCTGTTGTGGCTATATGTGGACTTAACTAATGAAGTGATAAATAAATATACATTTACCAACACCAATGCTCTAGCACAAAAGCATTTAATCACACTTTTAGTCTCAAACATATTTGTTCAAGCATCCACCTGACTACCCCACAAATACTCCTACACACACACAACTTATTGATACATATACGAAATAAAGTATGTATAAACATAAGCTGTAGGGCCTTTGGACTGTTTGGACTCACACATTTATAAATCATTGTTGCATTGGATGCCACCAAACAATTACAGTTGATGCAGTTAATATACACATGTGTGAATGTTGAGGTGCATGTTTGTTACAAGTTAACATTTTTATACAATTTTATGTTACATGTTAAATCACACACTTACAAAGTGGTATACACAAACATAAAAGCAATAAAAATTTAACTTTTTTGATACGTTACTATAACAATAAAGACAGAAAATGTTAATTATGATTGTCTCCGTAATTCTAACATATGTATTAACATTTCATTTTGATATATTTTTTTACGGCTGTATTTATAAAAACTTATTTTAGGTTTATTAAACAATTTTAGGCAAAATTCAGGAAAATCGTATTTATAAACGTGAAATAGCTTAAAACACCTTCAATAAACCATTGACAATTAGAAGAATTTTATTGTAGGCTCGACCCTTCTTTAAGCCAACAATAAGTTGATTTTTAACAATTTTTTTCTCAGATAAAGATTTTTCCGGTAATTTTAAGTTGATTGCGAAAACTAATTATGGTTTCTTTTAAAATAAAATCTAAAAATTCTAATTTTAACGTTTACAAATTTGTAAATAAAATCCCAGAAAATTTTTAAACGATTATATTTTGAGGAAAAAACTCAAATCTAGGCATTATTGGATTAATGCATGAATATTTCACAATATTCCAATTGTCCAGCACTATTTTTAGGCAATTTGGAAATGATGGACAAAATCATTTGATTTGGCTTTTTCAAAGTTTGTTGGTTAAATATAATGCCATAAAGTAATTAACCATGTAAATTATATTGATTAGTGTTATACTAATGCAAAATATATTCGCCGGCATTAAAATTAGTCAAATATCAAAGAAATTTATCAATATTTGCAAAAATTTATCAAAAATTACAAGGAAAATAAGTAAAAATAAGAAAATGTGTCATAGTGATGTATATTTTGTCGCAAAATATCCGTTATTCGGATACTTTTAATAATAATTAGAAATTATATGTTATATTTATACATCTGAACTAAATAGACATTTATTAAAGCCATATACATATATATTTATTTTTCTTAAAAGTTTGTTTTTATTGTCAAAAATCTATTATAAACAAAAATATGAAATTAAGAAAACCGAATCAACGAATATTTTATCCTAATTGTACGCAACACTAACATATAAAATGACAGCCATATTGTACAGTGCTGCCAACTTAAACATAAATCAGCACAATAGTTAATATACGTTTATTATTTGTTTATGAATATCACAATTTTATTAATGGTTTTTAAGGCTAAAGTGTGCTTTAACTATTGAGTGCATTAAAAGCAAAATAAGATTTTTTTATAAATACAAGCGTTAATCTTTAAGAATTTAGGTGAAGGCTACAAATAAGAGGCCGTAATATTGGTATTACATCAGAAATCTTGATAAACTCTGTGTCTTTGAGAGATTTTATTATGAAGAGATAAAAGGCAGAAATTTTTCACAAATTATGGTTATGTAAGATATTCATTCATCATATTATTTTAAATTAAAAGTAATATATTTGATGAATACACCTACTTTTTTGTCCTGAGCTGTACATATTGTGTGTACACTAG